GTAAACAGCGTATGCTGTTCTGTGTCAGCAGCGTCACGCTGATACGTTTTCTACGTTGTTTACATTTTGATTTGATTAAAATTACGGTTGAACGCCTGATGTCACATGGATTATTTTACCTATCTCCTTGCTACGTTTCTGGACCTTGATCGTGGTAATTACCTTGCTGTCTATAGGAGGGTCATAGAGCTCTCAGAATGCTCATTGTGACATAAACCATAATGTGCATAACTGATAAGAAAAAACAAAGACCGAAACGGTTACTTATGTGAAAAACCATCAAATGTGAATTCTGGGAATATATGTTTTTTCACTGTAAATTATCAGAATGGGAGTCAGAATACCACAAAATTTACAACAAGATTAAAGTGCAAACCTCAAGATGCTTTACACAAAACAAAAAATATATTTAAAAAAATATATCTTAAAATATAGATATTTTTTAAAAATATCTTAAAAGATGATTTGTTTTTCACTTACAAAAAAACAGGGCAAATTAGCATTAGAGCGCAATTCCATAAAAGTGCCGATGGGTGGGGAAAATTCTGCGGGTGGCTTACTAACAATGCACACATTAAAGGACACAGACGCAGCCAGATCATTTCCATAATGACCAGCGCAATCTACCAAGAGCAGCGCAAATTACCGCCTGCTTTAAGACGTGCTTTTTTTGGGCATTAAATAATGGCGCAAATACCAGTAATTTGACGAGCGCAAACGTTAGTAAATCGCATTGCGTGATTCATTTTAATACTCTCCTCCCATAAATTTTGCGTCTGAAAGGGAAACTCCTACAAATGCATAATCAATCATTTCAGGCGCAAACATAACCGTGTCCACGCCTTTTCAGCGCTAATTCTTTACTGCGCGTCTTTAGTAAATCCTGACAGTACTATTTTAACGCCAATAGGTGGTTTGCGCTGGCGCAAGCTGTTAGTAAATCTGGCACCAGATGTCCTATTAGATTTACTAGTTTTTCACCATATATATATTAAGGGAACTTGCCATTAATCAATGAATATATTTTTCCGTTAAAATTACAGTCATTTTTTACAGTCTAGGAATGTATTCATAAAAAAAAAAAAACATTATGCATTGGTAGAATTAATTAGATTGATTGATTGTGTCCTTGTATCTTTCAGGGAGCCTGGAGAAGACACTAAAATGCTAGTGTGCGATATGTGCGACAAAGGCTATCACACTTTCTGCTTGCAGCCGGCTATGGACTCTATCCCCACCAACGGCTGGAGGTGTAAGGTATGGGTGGCTCTGAGAGACATGGTTATCATCTTCTCCCATTTCTTGAATGCAGTATAGCTAATCGTAGCCGTGTGTTTGTAGAACTGCCGGATGTGTATTCAGTGTGGCACCCGGAGCAGTGATCAATGGCACCACAACAGCCTACTGTGCCAAAACTGTGGCGATCAACAGGACACCACCGTCCCCTGCTTATGTCCCAGCGACGTAGATCCCGATGTCCACAAAGACCTGCTTTCTTGCCATCAATGCAAAAGGTACATTTCCATCGCAAATCTGTAATCTAGTTCAGTAGCAGTTACACATCCAGAAAGTCCATATCTGGAACCTAGTTTTGGATGCAGTGAAAAGGTGACTCATTGGCTGCCACTTTTTCTTCAGGTGGTTCCACCCACAATGTGAGCGTCCAGGTGAAGGTCACGCACATCCACAGTCCAAAGAAGATCACATATGTTCCGTCTGTAGAAACGCAGGCTTTGAATCAGATCCTGTGCACGCGGATGCAGAAGGAATCCAGGCGGAGATTCAATCACACGTGGACGTTGAAGAAAACGCACAGCCAGTTTCATCAAACGATTCGGAGCCTGCCAAAGTTCAAGACGCAGAACCTCACCAGCCTGTCAGCGAGATGCCGAATAAAGAGAAGCAACTGGATGAAAAACAAATGATGGGTAAGACCCATCATTTTAGTGCCTGAAGTTATCGTTGGATCGTTCTTGGAAGAATTAACCCATTGCATGTGGGATTTAGGGAGTTTTTCTTACACTCTCAGGAAAAATGGTACAAATTCTGTCACCTTAAGATTAGGTTTTAGTCTGGTCATTTTAAAAAATCAGGCATAAATAACACTGATACTAGTCACTAAAAATTTTATTTATTTGTTGAAATCTGGAAGCCATAGAAAGAATGCCTTTTTATTTTTTTTTAAATATATATATATATATTTACCTTCATTCATTAAAGCAGTCACAAGTCATTACATTTCAAGTCTGTTTATTGAAACTTAGAAGCAATAGAAAGAACATAATTTGTCACACTTTATTTTAAGGTCCAATTCTCGATATTAACAAACCATTAACTATGACTTTTGCCTCAATAAACTCCTAATTTGCTGCTTATTAATAGTTAGCAAGGTAGGTGTTAAGTTTAGGTATTGGGTAGGATTAGGGATGTAGAATATGGTCATGCAGAATATGTGCTTTATAAAAAAGAACTCTTAAAAAATAACATTTTTAAGAATAACAATCTGCATATAGGTTCCAACAAAAGTACTGTTTAGTTTAAAACATGTTGAAGATTAGCGAACAGGCTGTCGATTCATTAAATGATAAGCTATTTCCTCACAAAAGCTATTTATTCAGCATACTGAGAGCATCTCCTTCATTGACATCCATTTAAAAAAAAAAACAGCCTCTCGTCTCTTTCACTGCGTACCCCCAAAGCCACAGCATTAGTGTTAGCGTTACGCTTTTTTTGGCTAAAGGTTGCAGGCTTGCTTTCCCAGTGACTTTGCTAGAGCTAAACTCTTCTGGAAGTTGGCTTGTCCCTAAGGATGCATATTAGCATCTTAAAGGTACATATAATTACCTAAAGTGTACATATTAGTACCTTTTGAAAGCGTACTACCCCAGTGACGGCTTTTGTACCATTTTTTCCTGAGAGCGCATTATATAAATGTACAGATTGGCTGCTTTCTTACCTGTTTTTGCACAGCCCAACAAATCGAGTTAGCCTTAGAATGAATCATCTTTGTAAAGTGAGATTTTTGGATTGGTTTCTGACAGATTTTTGTGGTTTTCAAATAGAATCTTCGAAGTCTTTATTTGATTTTAGTGTCTTATTAGCTTGGTTTTGGGTTTGGTGTCTTTACCGTTCACTTACTTTCACAGTGGTCCAATAACTGTGAGTTCAGCCCAGAGTCTTTGAACCATGAGGACAGAGGTTGCTCTGTGAAGCACCCCAGTCCTTCAGGCCAAAAGTTGCTGAAGTGGAAGACTAGGCCAAAGCATCCCATAGACCCTCATGCCTCAGTTCTGTCTGGATTAGTCTGGACTGGTCTTGAGGAAAGGGGTATTTGAAACTTGGACTGTTTTGCCTGGGGAAGGCAAAAAGTCTCTGAAAGTGTTCCTTATGTGCTTTTGAATACCTGGTGATTCATGGAAATAGTTCCTTATTAAAGGAAAAATGACAATCCTGTCATCAATTACTCACCCTCATGCCGTTCCAAACCCGTATGACTTTCTGTCTTCCATGGAGCGCGATTCCATTTTCCACTTCAAGACTGAAGACCATCTTACTTTGCAGACCTGCAGGAAGTTTTACATTCCTGCCAATCTCCTCTATGTGTAATATACCATCACAGCTTTGCGTTCAAGCAGCTTTGGGTATATGGTGCATTAACACCCCGCTGTCACTGTACAAATGTTCAGCACAGTGTCGGTAACTCAATTCCCCAACCTTTAGGGGAACAGCTGCCCACAGGCGTTTTCAGCATTATGCATCCTGGTGCAAATCTCTAGATGCAGAGGTGACAGATCTGGCCTCATCCCACGCTGGGTTCATGGTTATTTAGAGTGCCCTGAACATGTGTGCTTGTGTTGCATGGTATGCTGTTGCTGTAAGTTGAAAAGGTTCAACAGAGAAGAAACCCAAACCCATGTCTGATTTCACCCAGGTCCCTTTTTGTGTATTGCTTGGCAAGGAACCAACCAAGCTTATTTTTGTCAAGAAATATCAAAATCAATTTATTGCCCAGTCCTACTTTATAATCTAATATGCAGTATGAAAGCTAATTTAGTGAAGAAAGTTATTGAACTATTTAATTTATTTGTTTAATCATTTATTTTCATGTTGAAGTTAGTTACATGGCAACAGGTGGTGATGTGGATGGCAGCTGGATGAAGGTGACGTCTTTGCAGCAACTAGCTTTTCAGAAAGACTTCTAGGCTTCTGTTCATTGGTCTTTGACCCTCACATTGATTTTAGAGAGGCTTGTTTACGGCACCGATCACCAGAGAGTTAACCTCATTCACCTCTGGAGATGATGCCCACTTGGTCCACTATGGCTGGTCATTCTCTCTAGCTCTGTCGTTCTCCATTACATTACATTGAATTATGTTACATGTCTCGGTCTAACGGTGTTCACCCATCATAAAAAAGACCCCATATGTGCCTGATGGATTATGAATGGGAGAATATGTGCTTATCGGACCATAGGTCTTTTGATGTGACCTTGTACCGGAGGTTACCATGGAGACTCCACATTTTAAATGGCTTTGAGATGCAGCGGATGATCAGATGTGACTGGAGTGCAAGCGGTTTATGAAAACACACTGTACCTTTCACAACTCAAACTTCCTTCTCAGTCCAAAACTACCATGTAAATCTTTTAAATCCTAATACTATATTATATTGGACATAATATTATGGATGGAATTTATTAAAATTCTGAACGATTAACAGATTATGGTCATTATGATTAAATAAAACAAAAACTATTAAAGGGGTCATATGACGTTGCTAAAAAGAACATTATGTTGTGTATTTGGTGTAATGCAATGTGTTTATGCGGTTTAAAGTTCAAAAAACACATTATTTTCCACATACTGTACATTATTGTTTCTCCTCTATGCCCCGCCTTTCTGAAACGTGACGATTTATACAAAGCTCATCGGTCTGAAAAAGCGAGGTGTGCTGTGATTGGCCAGCTATCCAGTGCGTTGTGATTGGCCGAATACCTCAAGCGTGTGACGGAAATGTTACGCCCCTTACCATATTGTGATGCCGTGTCCCGGCGCAACGAGACAAAACCAATAAAACCCATTATAAACGAGGCATTTGTTGCATCCAGTGGGGACATACTTACAGATTAAAATGACTTGTACTGTCTTTTTACGCGTTGCGTTGCATATCGCGCCGAGTAAACATAAAACCATGTTGTGATCGGAGAAACGACAAAGTATCTATTCACGAACAGCTTGTAACACTCCAAAGAGAAAGGAAAACTTGAAATTGCATCATATGACCCCTTTAAAAACATGTTATCAAAAATATAGATATTACACGAAAAACTTAAAGAGATGAAAATTGTGTCATCATTTACTCACCCACATGTTCTTCCAAACCTGTATGAATTTCTTCTATCTGTTGAACACAAAATAAGATATTTTGAAGAATATGGGTAACCAAGCAATTGTTGGTCCTCATTAACTTCCATAGTATTGGGAAAAATAGTATTGAATAGTATTTTTTTGTTCTGCAGAATAAAGAAATTAATGATGCCAGAATTTTCATTTTTGGGTGAACTAACTCTTTAAACTAAACAAAAATGTTGATAAATATTGCCAATGTAAGTTTTAAGTTGAAACGATAAAATTTAAATAAACTGGAAATAAATAAAAAAACAACTAAAACTGAAATGAGAATATATGTAACCTAAATAGTAACATTTAGCTGACATATAGTAAATTCATCACCATCTTAATAAATTCAAAAATAAAACACCAAAAGCCAAATTCAGTTGGTTTGCTGTAAGTGAATTTAGGCATTACAACATTACAATGTACAGTATGAAAAATTGATATTCTGCGGATTATATTTAACACTGTTTAAGTAAGTTTCGGATGACAGCAAAAGTGAACTAAATGTAAAAATAGAGGAAATGAATATAAGCAATATCTGATAATCTCTGATACCATTAAATGAAAATAAAATCATTGGTCAATAACTGATATGGTACCAATATATTGTGCATCCAAAAAAAAAAAAAAAGTATGGTATGCCCGTTTAAGTTAGTCCAATTAACATCTTGACATCAGCAATGTGTTTGCTTCCATCTTTCTCAATATGTCTCATAATGAATAGGGTTCATATTCTTTTAATGTCTTCTGTTACCCAGAAGTGATTTCATCTGACATAACAGGCCATAAGTAGCAATTGTCGCTTCTTTCTGTAATTAAAAGATGTGCTGAATAACCAGACGTGCGAGTCATTATCGTAAGCCCGTATCTTCTCTCCAATATAGCAGTCACCGGTCCAGATCAGAATCATGATGTATCTCTGCTCTTCTGATTAGAAAGAAACCTGTCCTCTAATTACCTCGGAAGCGCTGAGCTAATGTCAGCCACGCCGGACGATAGTCATTTAGTCTTCTGTGATTACGTGATCTCTCTAATGGCTGGTAATCTCTTCCTAGAGGAGATATGAGGTGATTTATCTGATAAGGCCCTCAAAATCAATGGATTTAAGTGCTTGAGGTGGAAATTTGTTGTTCCAGACATGCATTGAACAGAAGAGAATGACATTATAGACAGTGAGAGGACAATAAAGCATGTTAGAGTGTAGTCAAGAGCCACAAATCAAACGTACAGCGGGTATATAAGCCAACACTGGATAAATCGACCTAATTAAAGGCGTAGATTACTTTGAGTACTTGTGTACTGCTCAAAGCCATTGTATTCTCTTGAGCACAATGTTTTCTGAATAGCACACATGCCATATGTGCCCTGTTGAGTTGTTTTTCCAGTCCTGTAATTATTTCCACTAGTGCTTGGAGCAGTTTGTATTACATAACACAAGTCGGGACTGTCTATTGACTTTTTCCCCCCTCCTCTAGAAATTGGTGCAGATGCTAGTGGCGATTTAGCCAAGCCAGAGTGCAGCGAGACCTCAGACCACAGCGTGGAAAATGAGCGGACTTCAGGTACTTCATCTACTCTCTTTGCCTCCAGTGACACATACACGGTTAATGTTATCAAAGATGCTCTTATCTTAACCATAACCACCGTTCTTGGATATGTCCGTTTTTAGGGGATGTTCAAAACAAGCGGTTTAGAATTTGTTGAAAAATATAGTTTTTCTCTGACAGTTTGATGAACATTTGACAAACAACAGCTGAAGACACTCATCTTCCACAAGCAATTATTTGTATTTGAGGGGCAAATATAAGTTTATATGGGGAGAGGTGTCTTTGAAATATTTAGGGGTTCAAATACCTAAAGATATTATATAATTATTTGATGAAAAATAATCAGCCACTAATTTCTAAACTTAAATCAGACATGTAAAGATGGAACTTTTACCATATTTAGGCCTAGTCTCCAGAATTGAATCAATAAAGATGAATACACTCCCACATTTTATATACCTTTTCCAAACACTTCCTATAGAAATAAGCAGCATTTTACAGATTGGGATAAAATGATATCACGATATATATGGCAAGAAGAGTATATGCTTAGAAGAGTAAAGTTATTTTTTAATTTTAATTATTGCAGTGTGTAAAATAATTTTTTAAATGGTACAAATAACTCTCTCAATCAATATGAGCTCATATGATACATTAATCATAATTTATGATAGAATTAGAATTCTATTGTAAATAGTTTTGGATGTAGTGTAATATGTCAGCTTCCCAAAAGTATTTCTGCAATCCTATTCAAGCAATAGTAAAATAAGCCCAAGTGACTAAAACAATGCACTTATTTGTGAAATCATAGCAATATGGTTAGTATTTTTTTATAATAATAACATTATGGTCAAATTTTACCCTCTGACCTACAGTGGAAAATCCCTGTGTATTTTTGTACATCTCATTTTGAATGTTTTTCTGCTTCTTGCAGTTGAGTCTCCTCAGGAGACAAAAGGTCCTGAAGTTTCAGAGCCGCACGAGCAGAAACTAGATTCAGCTCCAGAGACGTCCACAGTCCAGCAGCTTGTGTCATCCCTTGAACTAGAGGAGCCTCCTGAGACGTCAGCTGAACTCACAGAAAACGTCTCCCAGAATGAGGATGACAGCAAGCCCTGCCAGGACGAGCAGAAAACCAACCTATCACCTACCAAAGAGCCAACTCCAGCCTGTACCTCCCATGAGGAAGAACCCATGGAGGTTTCCTTCACGGAGGAACCTTCCACAATGGCTCATGGAGTTACTGTAGAGCCTGAGGTTAGTACTGCTAAGACTACACCAGGAGTTCAGAGCCAGGAGGAAACGGGTGTTATGGTGCAGCAGCGTGACATTATTCCCGAGAGCCACACACAGGAAATGGACATCACTATGGATGGTGGGGAGCGATGTTTGGCCAAGCTGAGTTCACTGGTGGAGGAGAGGACGTCATTACGGCAGCCTCCATGCAGGCAGCCTGAGGGTTTGCCCTCAGTTGGGCATGGGGCGTCCCAGCTCCAGCTACAGGCTGTCTCAGGACAAGCCATCAGCAATGTGCCTTCATCCACCTTCATACCATTCCCTCCAAAAATCGGCATGGGCAAGCCGGCCATCTCTAAGAGGAAGTTTTCACCTGGAAGACCCAGAGTCAAGCAGGTCAGTCATATACTTTATGATCAATTGCGTGTTGGTTTATTTAATCTGTTGTCTGCAGATTCCTGCATAGTTCTAGGTTAATTAATAGGCGTAAGGCTTTGTTCAAACAGACAATTACATTTTTGGCAAATTTGGACATCTCAACAGCAAATAAAACCAGTCACAATTTTGACTTGATTTCTTGTAATTTTCAGAATTTTCATCTCATAAAAGTAGTTAATATCTCATAATTTGACTTTATATCTTACTTTATTTATCGTAATTGCGACTTTACATCTCAAATTGACATTGTATCTCACAAATGCAGATTTTTTCCCCCTGTATTTGTGATCATATATATCACAATTATGACTTTATTTCTCGTAGTTACAACTTTATATCACATAACTGCAACGTTATTTTTAGATTTTAAATCTCAATTTGACTTTGTGAAATGTTTTTCCCCTGTAATTGTGACCGTATATACCTCACAATTGCGACTTTATTTAATGTCAATGTGATTTATTTCTCATAATTGCAACATTATTTCTTGTAATTGCAACTTTATATCTCAAAATGACATTGCACCTCACAAATTTTCCTGTAATTGTGACCATATATCTCACAATTACAACCTTATTTCTTGTAAAAAAAAAAAATCTCATAATTGCGACGTTAATTCTGTAGTTGTGACTTTTGCAAATGTATTTCTTGTAATTGTGACTGATTCTCGTAATTGCTGCATTATACCTCACAAATGCAATTAGCAAAGTCTCCAGATGTAAAACCCAACATGTTTCAGTCTCAGACATGCTGTCTGTCCACTGGAAATATTTGTGATTTGTGAATGTAAAAGTTTGATTTTGTGCTGGAACAACTTTCCGTGAGTTAGAAGCTTTATTATAGACTAAACATTTGAGAAATTGAATGTTTTATGAAACGACACAGGCTTGAAATATCAATTCAAAGGGGATTATTTCAGCATTAGACATCTCACATATCATACTCAGCCATCGGATCATCATTCATGCATCACGTCCTGTTTCTGATTGTGTTTTCCTGTTAACCAAACACTCTCTAATTCATAAAGGCTGTGTCCGAAACCGAAGGCATCTGCCTTGCTGTCCAATCTGCATAGACAGTTTGATTCAGGGAAAAATAACGTCATGTCTAATGATCTAGAATGCTAGAACTAATGAAGTTTAAAATCCAAGTGAGCTTTAGATGTAACCAAGTGAAGAAAGAAATGAACATTCCCCTCCCCAACAAGCTCATACATGCATTTGCATATTTGGTTAAAAACCGACGTGTTAATTTCACTTCAAGCAGCTTTACGTTTTAATTGAGCAAGTCTTAATTCGCAGCCATCATCGTGATTTCTGGATGATCGCTAAGTATTAATTAACTTTATAGCCACAAACGGATTAATTAGAGGAATTAAGCGGCTGTAAGAGGCCTGCTCTTTTGCACTCTTTGTGTGCTGGAGTTATGTGATGTCGTGCTGACATAATCACACGCGTTTGTAAACAAGACAGCGAGTGTCTCTGTTGTCATGGCAACAAAAATAGCACAATGCCAGGCCTCTCAGTAACACTTTAGTATAGGGACCAATTCTCACTAGGCGCTTATCGACATTTATAAAATATCGCCAAAGTTTTGCGCAAATCTGTAATGGAAACGCGCCTACTGTTAACTAGTTGTTTATTAGCATGCATATTACTAGCATATTGGCTGTTTATTAGAACTTATAAAGCACATATTAGTGCCTCATTCTGTGTGACCATATTTTACATCGCTTAATCATACCCCATACTTAAACTTAACAGTTGCATTACTAACTATTAATAAGCAGCAAATTAGGAGTTTATTGAGGCAGACGTTAATAGTGAGAATTCATCCCCAAACTAAAGTGTGATGATCCTCTCTACTGCAGTGAAGGCCTGTTCACACCGCGAGTAAAAAAGAAATGTGAAATGAATCACAGGCCCAATAATCAAGTGCAAAAGTCTTTCATGTGCTTAATGTGAAATACAACTCACTAGAGTTGTCACGAAACCAAAACCAAAAAGAAATTTCTTTTTTTTTTTTTCATAAAGAAAAATATGCTAAGGGACACACTGCTTTAGTTAAAAAATTAAGAAAAATATTAAATAATATTCGTATTATATTATTACATACTACTAAATCTAATTAATTTAATGAGTAATTTAAGTGTAAATTAAGAATAATAATTAATACAAGTAAAATTAGTAATAAAGAAAATAAAATAATTTCAAGCAGTAACACAAATAAGGAGAGTAACAAACTAAAGTAACATTAATTTAAATGTTTAAGGTCAGTAAGATTTTTTTTTTATTATTATTTAAATAAATCATAATAAATAATACTTTTATTTATTATTTCACTATTAATAATACATTATTTATTAAATTATTGGGGGAAAGTGACAGTAAAGACATTTATAAAGTTGCAAAAGATTCATATTTTAAATGAATGGTGTTTCGTACTTTCTATTCATCTTTGAATCCTGAAATCCATTTTTTTTTTTTCATTTTTAACAGAAGTATTAAAGGTGGGGTAAGCGATTTCTGGTAGCCAATGTTGACATTTGAAATCACCAAAACAAACACGCCCCTACCCCAAAAGGGTCTTGCCCCTATTTTGATAGCTCCGCCCCACATATACGTACGCAACCCAGGCAACGATTAGTTCTGTGAAACAAAGCAAAACTAATGTTACACCGTGTCTACGGACGTGAGTGGCGCGGCGCAACAAATCCCGACAGAAAACTGCTGCCGGGTTCTGTTTATGACGTGCTGACACAAATTTCAAATGCTTTTCAACGGTCGTTTGATCGCGTCCAGTGTAGGCAGACTTTAGCTGTTGTAGACACGGTGTTACTCACCTATTGAGAAGAAACAAAGCAACCTCGGCGTCCGATCGCAGGCCTTCCGCTCCTTGAGTTCTCTCCAGCGCTGAAAAGCTGATCCGATATTTACACGGGTCCTACTTCTGGCCTTAAACCTTCTTTTGTTCCGCAGAAGTTTTCCTCTTTTGTTTTTTATCCGCCATCTCTATCTTTCTGTCGCTCGGCTCGGCTAATGTCCGGTGCACTGAACGCTCTCTCCTCCACATCACGAGTAGACACGCCCCCTTACTGCTAATTGGCTACAAGTTTGTTTTGCTACTCGGCCCGAATCAGTTTTCTAATTCGCCTTACCCCACCTTTAAGCCGCACAACTGTTTTCAACATTAATAATAAGAAATGTGTCATGAGCAGCAAATCAGCACATTAGAATTACTCCAGAAGGATAAATTACATTTTAAAATAGAAAACAGTTATTTTAAATTATAATAATATTCCACAATATTGCTGTTTTGACTGTTATTTTTGCATCCCTGTTAAGCATTAGAGTCTTCTTTCAAAAACATTAAAAAATCTTACTGACCCCAAACTTTTAGGCCTTTGAACCTGTTTGGACAGTCATTATTTATTTATTTAATTCTGTTTGTTTCATAAACTACACACTTGACCTTTAAAAATCGTCTCTGAAAGGCCCTGATGACATTTTTAAAACACGTCTCATCTTCTTAGAGCAGATGATGCAGTTTCGCCGGTTCTTTCCATCGTTTGCGCATGCTGTCTTTCACTTTATTTAGACTGACAGAAAACATCTCTTTTTGCCCTAGAAACAGTTATATATGTATATGCAGATTACAGTAGAAGGAACATTTTTGTTTGCATGTTTGAGAGCAGTATAAATTGAATGTATTTTTTCAGGAAGCGCTTTGTCTGAGATGTCATTTTTTGGAGTTCATTCACAGCTCTGATGTGTCACGTTCTCTGTTAGTCATGTCTGTGTTGTACATGCATGTATCTGTATGTTTCTTTGCTGGCTGTACTATTTAAGTTGTTGCATGTTCTCGCCCACATCTCCTCCTCTCTCTCTCTAACCCAACCCATCTTCAGGGAGCATGGAGCGCGTCCCGCAGACCGAGCTCCCCCTCATGGTCCCTTGACCCGACTGAGGGCTGGGACGGGCCAAAGAGCAGGCAGCCCTACAGCTCGGCCGCCTGGATAATCCGTGTGGTAAATACAGCCCAATATTACACCGCAGCCCTGCAGTGGGTGTTCAGCTAACACCGTGTCTACAGCGAATGACAAAACTAAACTGTTCTCATTATAGTCAGTCAAGCTGTCTACACTGGAAATAGCCTATTTGGCAGACCTTCAGTTGATGAACTCCTGTTTTGTTTTTTTGTTTGAATTGATTGAATTAATTTGTTTTGTTTATACATTTTCATATTTTTCATATTTGAACATTCATGTAATTATATGAATTATAAATAGCTATAAATGATCAATATTATTTATACAAATAATAATGTAAATAATAAATTAAATATAAATGTATTTTGAATGTATAAATAATGTGCGTATATGTATAAATACACTTTTTCCTTATACAAATTTGAATGATATTTGTCTAATGTAATTAATTAAGATTATTAGTTTAATTATTTAAATTATAAATAATTGTATAAATTATATTTGTTATACAAGTAATTATATAAATAATATATATTAAAACAAAGGTATATAGATATATTTTAAATGTATATAAATAATTAATTTGTATTTATGTATATATATATATATATATGTATATATGATAA